GGCACATTTCCCTGGTTAGTTCGTCCAGGTATTCCGTGGCGGTAGCTTTAGGGGCGAAAGACGTCACGAAAGCTTCCGGGGATTGATTTTCGAAAAGGGAATCCTCGAGCACCACAGCCAAATTGAAGATGGCGTCGATAGGGCCTAACTCTAAGGATTCACGGATGAGCTGGTAGCATCCGTCTTTTGTTGTAATGGGAGCGGTGGATATTTTTACTAAAGCTCCGTAGGACCTCCATACTCTAAAAAAGTGTGTTACTAAAACTTTTGCAAACTTTTCCAAAATGAGTCAGTTTACCTAATCCTCATATTCTGGTAGCCGCTGTTAATTCCTTTTCGGGACGAAAGCACCAGCTTTCTCGCTCCTCTGACCACCAACCAGTCCGCTAATTCCAGTCCAAATCCTCCCAAACCACCAATAATCACGTAGGTCTTGTCTGGTTCGGCCAAAAACCTAGAATCAACAATAATTGTTAATTAATAAATTATTTCCTTTAGTCATTGGTAAAAATAAATAGTGTGCAGTATTTCATTTGTATGTAACCTTACTTGGGTAAGCCGAAAAATTTTTGTACAGAGGGCGGCGTTACAAGCTGCTGCTCGGGCTCCCGTATCTTGATCAGAACTTTTCCCATGTGCTTGCCTGTAGTCATGAATCTAAAGGCTTCCTCAACGTCATCATAATTAAAAACAGTTCTACTTAATGGTTGCATGGCTCCGCTTTTCAAAAACTTTGTAAATATGCTCATAAGCTGCATTTTCCTCCATGGAATGTCCCGGGAAAGCTGATCCAACATAACCCCCTGAAAACTAGCTTCCTTCTGGAACAGAAGTAGACTAAGTTCGTTGTTATTCGCCATGTCGTATTTTCCTATCTCTATCAACCTGCCTCCTTTGGCAAGACACCTGACGGACGCTACGAGCTTATCTTCAGCCAGAGAGTTCAGCACAATGTCCACTCCTCTACCGTTTGTTTCTCGGTATATCATCTGCTCAAACGTCTCGTCGCGGGAATTGCCGATATGACGATCTGAAATCAATTGAAAGTCTTGTTATTCCTTCCAGTTGCTACAAACGCTTCTACCTTCAAGGACGGGGAAAGTTCTCTTGAGGTATTCCCGTTTCTGTGGAGTTCCCACGGTGGTAAACACTTTACATCCGAAATACAAAGAGAATCGTATGGCGGCTTGACCGACAGCTCCAGTGCCCGAATGAATTAAAATAGTTTCACCTCTTTTCAGTTGTCCACGCTAAAGAGAAAGTTATGAAATATACGTATTTAGAAAAATCAGTTATTTTTTTGTAGGATCTTACAATTGGTAAGGCATACACAACTGTTCCATACACAACTGGCACAGTAGCTGCTTCTTCCAAAGTCCAAGAATCAGGGACGGAAAACAAGCAGTAATCGGCAAGCACTAAAGTGG